TGCAATGGTGATAACTACTCCCTGCCCCACCTCACTGTGTGGGAAAAGCACACCACTACCTAAACACATGAAAATCGGTGTGACATTTCACTGTAGAGAATATGAACTACAGTGGTTGTTCTTAAATGAGCACATGACTTAAGACAGCAACCACTGGCACAATGCAAACTAGTTACAAGGGAGAGTCAACTAAGAATCTTTATCTTGAGCAACAGAGAGATAAACATGACTAATATATTAGTCAGTGATGCGCTAGGCCAGTGCTTTCTAACTTCAATGTGCACATGAATCATCTGGGGATCTTGTTTAACAGCAGATTCTAGTTTAGTCCCTGGCAGGATGGGGCTGGATTCTGCACTTCTAATCAGCTTTCAAGCAATGCTTAAGAGGTGCATCCCTGCACCCTTCTTGGTGTGCCAAGTTTGCGGTTGGCACTTGGAAACAATCTGATACATAATTCAGTAGAACTTAGACTTCAGTGATTTGGATAAAAGATAATAAACCAGAAGTATATTTAATCTGAACTACAAGTGGGCAGAATTCATTTCTGATTTGTTGACTTGATAACCGCTTCATAGACCAACATGAATGGCATAGATTCATCAGGTGTTAAATCCCTAGCATTCTTCTTTGAAACACTTTGAAAGAATTTCAGGTACCAAAATGGCATCAAAGGAAAAAAAATATAATTTAATTGTCTTACAAGGTCTCTTGCCTATTCAACAGACCTTAGCATAATTTGAATTTGGGATTCCTTCCTTTTCCTCATTTTCCCAGCAATGGAATGTGGGACAAATATTTCAAGAACAATGGTTTTGTGAATGCAGAAATGGTGCATCATGATAAAAATTCCAGTTTTTTCAAAAAACAAATGGACTTGGTACAAGTTGAATTCTGACAAAAGGATTTTCAAACCACTTCTTTGGTGACCTTGAGAATGATGAGTCGCATCACAAGAGGAAGCCTCATTCAAAAAGCTCTTTCCTGTTTATGATTTCCTTTGAACCCAAATAGATAGGAAAGGTGAGAAGGAATCAGCTTAAGCCATGAGGTTTGTTCACTTCTCTGTCATCCTCATCTGCTGTGATCATGTATGTCCCACAATCCAGGTTAATATTTCCCCCAAATTTCCATAGGAATGCTAGAAGTTAGTATGCTGAAAAAATGACCTTGATTATATAGGTTTGGGAAGTTCAGGGTTAAAGGAAATTTATTAGGCCAGTGGACTTGGGGTCTTCTCAGAGAGCTCACAAGGCTAACGCTCATGAAAGCAAGGGGCATCCACCAGGCACAGGCTTCTCCATCAATTGACTATGGACCTTGCTTTTCCAGAACCATCTCTTGAGATAAGGGTTTGTAGTTTCCGCCTGGAGAGATGTGGATTGGGGGAGCTAGAGCAAAGCGTGTCTTATTGAGTTTGAATGAACAGAATATAGTCACTGATCATCCACAAGGTGGTGAAGATGAGTACGTACAGGATGGGAAGCTTCTAGAAATTTCTGTGCTTAGTAAAAACCTTTTTTGACAAGGTGAAGGTCTCATGGCTGAAAGGGATTTAGAGGGAAGACAAGCTAACCAAAGTCATTAAATCTTGCTAGTCTAAGATATTAAACTTATAAACAAACCCTATTTGTAGGGATTCAAAATCCTGAGACAATTGGTGAACTTGGCCTTCTATGTACCTCATAGTTTTCATTTAAAAATTGGGGATAGCAATGTCCACCAGACAGGGAGGTGGTGAGGACACAGAGAGACAATGGAAGCAAATGTACTGTCAATAAGAAGCACAAAGCTGACAGCTTCATTCTCAGTACTGCGGTAAGTGGGTTTCAGAAGCACTTGAGGTGGCACCGGCACTAGCCCCTGTGGTTCAAGGAGGTGGTGATAGGTCCAATTCAAGATGATGTGGGGGGCAATTCAAAATCTGCCTGCCTGGACCCCTACTCTGCTGTGAGTCATAATCTACTTGTGGTGGAGGGGAAGTAGGCATCAAGAGTTTTAAAAGTTGCTGCCTATAGTGATTATGACACATGCTCAATCCCTGGAGTGACTTAGGGGTGAATCTCTAAATTGTGGTCCCTCTCCTCCATAAGCCCTGGGATATGTTCCCTGGAATAAAAGATTTTTGTGGCTAAATGTATAGAAATGATATATATGAATTCCTGCCTCCCACCTTCTTTGGGGTTATGAGTTCAGGCAGTCAGCAATGTTTGCAAACAAGTAACCTATTGTTTTCTCACCCTATTAAGTCCTTGAAATTTTTATTTTTCTTGCAACTCTCATATCTCTCTTTACACATTTGAAGAATATTACAGTCTAGAGCTAGCCAGAGAACACATTATCCATCTTCAGAATTCTTTTTTTGCACTGATGACATAAACAAGAAGCAAAGTAGCTAAGAGCAGCCAAAATCTCCCCTTTCCAGGAATCTGGTTATGCTGACCTTGGTTTTTCCTGTCTCTTGCTGCTTTTATGCGGGAAGGAAACTGAGATGACAAATGTGTGCTTTTAATTAACCATCTCTGAGTAAACTCAAGGCCACAAAGGGCCAAGGGAGCAGCTACTGAAATCTTTAAGAGCTGACATTGGACAAACTTGGCTTTGAATCAGGCTCCAACACTTTCTGACTTAAGGACCTTGAGCAAATTACTGACTATCTCTGTACCTCAGTTTCCTTATTTGCCTAATAGGAAGAGGAGTAGCAGCTCCCTCATTGGGTTTTTGTCAGGATAAATGAAATGATCATGCAAAGCCCTTGGAGACAGCCTAATAAAGCACAATGTTGTTCTTATTATTGCTGCTGCTTCTACATGATACAGAAATAGAAGAACACACTTGAGCAATGGGAGAGGGAGAACCAAGATTGAAATGAAACAGAATAGAGACTTGTGGAAAACTTTCAGCTAAAATAAATGTTTCCTTCACAAATGAATTTATCTATTTTTTTTTCCAGTAAATCATCATGCCACACACCCAGTGAGAATTCAGGGTCAGAGTTTGAGAGATGTTTTAAATTGGCTGCTCTATAGCTCTGGCATGTGAATGACCCGCTCATCTGGCTCTTCATTCTTGTCAAATCCCAAACTATTTGACTAATTAAGAAACAAGAAACAGCTTGGGAGCTGCTGCCAAAGACGAAAGGGAAAAGAAGCTTGGTTAAAATTCAGCCACTTTGAAATAAGTGTCCCGGAGTGTAAAAGGGCTCTGGATTATGATGAGGGTGCTGGGGTGGGAGGCAGAGGGGTGATGTGTAAGCAAATTCAATTTTCAGTGCTCCCAGAACCTTTCGGGAAAGAATGAGACCAAGTAGAATAGAAGGTGGCAGAGTGCCTTGCACGTGGGGAGGCGGAGGCGGTAGTTTTACACATGCACTCACATCTCCATGCACACGTGTGTGAGCGCATGCCTAGTCCTTACTATGCCTTATGGTTAAGTTTGCAAGCCTCTGCTCCAGTGTGCAGGTCACAGGGCCCGGGTCCAGAAGTAAATTATTCTTGGGGTCTAGAACAGCTTCATAAACTCACCCTAGACCCTGCCCTGGCTTTTTATAAACACTCGGGGGTGGAGGGTGGTGTGGCCAGGACAAGCAGGGAGGGAAAATTCAGACACTGAGGCCCAGGGCAGTGACTGAGTCAAGCAAAACCTGGAAACTGATGAGGAGGCTGAGCATCCAATAACAACAAAATGCAAGGTGATGCCCTCATGGTCATGGGGCTCCATTTCCAGTATAGTTACAGCACCCCAGGAGATGCAGTGTGTCTGCAAGCCCTGTATTCAATTCTTTACTTTCCTGATCCCATTAGACTCTTACAGAAAAATTATGGGATAGCTAGCATTATCCCCCATGTAAAGATGAATGAACAGACTTCTGAGGACTGAATCAAATGAAAAAAAGGATTTTATGAGACCTGTTCATCAGATGCTTTGAGTGAGAGGCATAGTGAGGTATGATGAACTGATTCCTGTGGAGAAGGCCCAATCAGGATAACTAAACCCCTTGCTCATGTGAATCTCTGAAGAGATGAAGTGTTTGCCTTTTTATCTCCCCAAGTTCCCCATTCATTCCAATTTCTCCTCAGTCAAAGGCCGGCAGAGTGAAGAAGACTGATAGAATGGGATTCATTTCCACAAGCAGAGAAAGGTACTGATGGAACATCAACCCTCGTAAAGAGAATTCTAATTGGAAATTGGAGCATGGCACCTGGTTTTAATGAATCAACTCTTACCTCCTGCCAACACCACTGACATTTACTAGTCTCCTCCCATGCGCCCTTCCTCATCTCAGTGATCCACGCACATATCACTTAGTCTTCAGCATCACCCTATAGAGAGGACACTATTGTCTCCATTTTCCAGAGGAGGCAATGGGGCATAAGAGGGTGATAAGGTGTTAAAGGCAAGGCAACTAGTAAGGGGTGGGGTTGGGTTTTGAACCCAGCTCTGTTGACTTCTGAGCCTGACATGACATCCAAGCCACCACATCCATAAGGCTGAGGATTAAACAAGTGTCAGTGATGCCCTCTGCCCGCAAAGAGGCTTCAGTCCTGTGGGGAAGGTTAGATACACACAAATGGAAAAAAGTTCCTAATAACCCCCTACTTCTGGGTTCAAAGGAGTACTAGAGAAGATTCGAGGACTACTGGGGTTGAGGTGGGCAGGAGAAGCAGGGATTAAATTAGCACAGTAAAGTGGGCTTGTCCCAAGGACAAATGAACAAATACTGGACTTCTTGGTGCACAGCAGAGAGCAGGGCTTCTTCAGTTGAACAGAATATGCCCCCATTGTTATTTAACTTTCAACAAGTTATTTAACTTTCCTTGGCCTCAGTTTCCTTTTCTGGGATGAGAGCATGCCATGCACATCAGAGGGGGTCCAGGAAGACAGAGGGCATCTAACAGATTCGGGGAAAGGAGGCACCACCACTTTCCTCACTGTCCACCAGATTACACTGTTTTACAGTTTTTTGATCTTAACATGGAAAATCTCACAAAGAGGCCTACCTGCTGTGAGAAGCCTTTCACGACGCGCCTTTGTTTGAGGTTTGTCTCACCATCCAAGTTGGCAGTCTCCAGGTGGCAGATCCCGCTGGGGTCGGAGGAGAACAGGAGGAGAATGTCTGCCGGAATGATCTCGTTGCACTGCATCTGGACGAAGTCTCCCACCCGCACGTCCTGCCAGCACTTCTGCACATAACTCTGCCTTTTCCTGAGGAGGGAGAAAGAGAGAAGTCAGAGGCTGTCTACAGGTTCTCCAGAAAATGAGTGAGTGGAGGAAGGTCCTGGGCACCAAAACACCTTCCAGTCAGTCTGTCGGAAGACTGGTCTCACTTCAACCGTGCCTCAGTCATAACCTTTAGAGAAAAGCTAAGAATGAGACTCAGAATCCCAATAGGCAAAGGTCTGGCCCTCCAGTCATTTAGGGTGCTGGCCTTGAACTGTGCTCAGCCCTTGCCTCCTAGGAGAGAACACTTCAAGGAGAAGGCAGATACACTGTCCCAGGGACCGTACTCTCAATACACCTCCACACCCTGCAGAGAAGTGGGCTATTGCCATAGAATGCAGGGCTGCCGGGAACTTGCATACTGAAAGATTGCTCTGATGATGAGAGTGACGGATGGCAGTAAAGGTGAGGCTACAGACAATTCAGAATTTCAGTTCTGTGGAAGTGCTGAAATTGAAAAGCCTGGGCCATCAGGAAATTAGGGAGAAGGCACTAGCAGCTTTGATGGGGTGGGACCCCATAGAACAGAGGGCTGAGGAACCTGAGGAAATAAGGCACTTGCTCTACCCATCCTAAGTATTGAGCCGAGATCCTAATAGTGGCAGTAGCAATTGCCAAATGGCAACTGGCATCGTCAAAGAGCCAAGCATTAGTGCGAATGAATACTTCATTCACCTGCCATATGATCCATGGAAGTAATTGTCAGTATACCCACTTCACAAATGAGGAAATTAAGGATCTCAATGATAAATTTCCTAAGGTCCTAACAAGAACAGGGGTGGAATCTGCATGTGGGTCCATCTTGATGACAGATCTCTTGGTCCTCTCAGCCTCAGCTTTTCCATCATTGGCCAAAGAATGAGCTGCTATCCCAAACAACACATTCTTTTTCAGATATCCTATTTTATAATACCTACTTTCCACTTGGCCAAATACTGAACTATCCCAGGCAATTCGGTCTATTCCATCTTGCACCTTTCAAGAACTATTTCAGGGTGCTCATTCACTAGGCATCCCATGAAAACTTTGGACATGCCAAGTGAAACTAAACTTTCCAGGAGTTCAGAAACTAAACATCTCATGTGCCACAGTTCAAATCTGTCCTGAAGGTCTTGGCTGGTGCTTCTGTCTAAAGCTGCTCTTAGAATCACATAGTCCACATAGCATTATTTACACTCGTTGGGACATGGAAGCTGCTGAAATACCTGCTAACGAACAACTGCATCAAGAAGGTTTGCTCCATCTGCATGATGGAGCACTGTTCAGCCATAAAAAGGGATGAAATGCAGCCATTTGCAACAAAATTTAAGAAGCTTGAATTTTGTGTAGTAAAGCAAGTCAGAACAATAAAAACATACAGTGGACATTTACAAAGCAGATGATGCACATTAACAAAATACTCTGAAATCACGGGGCATCAATAAACACCATGAGGTTCCTGAGATTAAGAGCTGGGAAAGAAAGGGACAGGGAACATAAGGGATAGTGATAGGGGACAAAAAATAGTTGTGTTTGGAAATGTCCCTCTTTAAATTCGGGGTTTGGAACCAAACTAGCATTCCACATGTGGCCCACTGAGGCCAGCTGGCTGGCAGGTGAATGCCTCTGAGCCTCCAGGTCTAGAGAGGCTGTGCTTATGCTCTTCTGTGCTGTTTTGCTCTAATGAGGTGGAGCAATTACATGCCAGCGGCATGTAATTGTTTCTGTTTCTGTTGGAACCTGGGCTACTCCCTCCATTTCCCTGCTGTGCAAATCCATTCTTTCACAGGGAAAGAGATGGCACCAGAATTTTGCTCTCCTCCTTTGACTGCACAAATGTCCCTGGGAAGGATCAGGGGTTTTTGTTTTCCTCTCTTCTTGGAGGCCTTCTGGAGAACCCCATGTCATCCTCCCAAGATCCCATTTTCCTTTGCATAAAAGATCCTTGAAATGGACTATGCTGAAATACATGTGCTTCCCTTTGGCTGGCCAAGGGGAAATTCAATCAGTCTATAAAATCATGAGGGGCATTGGAATTGGGGAGCAGCCTTGCACTCTAAAGACCCACAGAGCTTGGTGGAAGTATTCTTGGCTCCAGAGAGAACAGCACAGCAGCTTCTGGTTAAACCAATCTGTTGGCCATATTATCCAAGGCTATCAAGGCCACTTCTGTGTCTCTTGGGACAATGCAACTGTAGCATTTTATGAATTCTTCTTTCCATTGAAAAACAGATTTCTCAGCACTTTTATTCCATCAGCTGATTTTATGCATCTCCCCTGCTTTCCATCATTTTTTTTCCATGAAGAAAAGGATAGTCACCACACATTTCTCAGTGCAATTTCAGAAATACATTCAGAGTCAGTTTACTGATGTATTTAGGGTGGACTCCGCTCCCTCCCAATGTCAATGTTACTAACATAATTCACGGTCTCTACTGATTCAGGGGAGGAACTGCTTTTTCCTCAAAGCTCCTGTTAAATGTTGACATATAAAGCCACTTAAAGGAATTAGAATAGCCCATATTCTGTGGGAAAAGTAAATTCATGAGGTGGCGAGTGGCTGGCTTTCTTTCTTTTTTTTTTTCCTTAAAAAATTTCTAAATATTACAGTAAAAATCTCTAAATGTTACAGTAAAAATCTCTCCAAGGAACAAAGGATTGAAACTCAATGTGTCCACAATCTTCCCGAGTTCCTCTCTTTGATCCCTGAGTTGTCTTGCATAATGCCTCTGGGGATGGTGAGGTGTCATCTGATTGCTACAAGCTCAGCATGCCACCCGGGGTCTGAGATGGGATTCAGCGAGAATACTTCTGACCTTCAGCGATAGATACCCTGACTGCTGATACTTCCAGAGCACATGAAAGCAGAGGGCTTGCAAATGCTGGCTGGGAGAGCTGCATCATCGGCCTATCAAAGGCAAGGTCAGTGCACCTCCACCCCCTTCTAATAAAGGACTCCAGTGTTTATTATGACACGTGGGTCACGGAGGTGATGGCAAATGGAGGGTTATGGAGATAAGTTTCTAGAGAATACATTTTGATGAAGAGTCATTTCTGTGGGTTGGGCTGAACTGGGGTCTTGTCAATTGCCATCAGGATGGTAAGGATCATTAGGTCAGTGGAACTCCCAAGAAGCTGAAGGCAGATCTGTCTCTGGGAGGTGGGCAGGGAGGGGTCAGGGCTGTCCTAGTACCCTCACCTCTTTCCACTGCATGGAATCCTCTCTTTCTTAGGATGCCATGTGGTGGTAAAGAAATGAGTTCTTCATAGAGGCTTACCCCTGCTTGCTGCTCACTTCCAACACAGAGATTATTCATCATCTCAAACAGCTGCCCACATGCCCTGGCACTCTCTGGTTGTGTGTGCCCAGCACAGAGAAGCTATGGAATCAACATGATTGTGGGCTATTAGGTATAAAAACAGATTTTTTGGTGTGTGTGCTGGGAATGTGGTTTGGTCATTTACTGGGGTTCACAATTTGAAGAGTTATATTTATTTTGCCCCACGGAGGGTGTTATGACTACACCACCACATTTTATAGGAACTTGAGTGATTAAACGATGAGACCTTGGGGGACATTTTCTCCTCACACTGGATGTCTTGCTGCTGCTTTTCTGATCCTCTGAGGTCCACTTTGTCTCCTCAACAGTTAGGAGCATGTTTGTGGAAAAGGCAGGAGCAGACAGCCGAGGGGGTCCAGCCCTTGGAGGCCATCAGTGGCTGAAGCCAACTGAGGCAGAAAAGCAACGTGCTTCTGCATCGAGCGCCACCCAGCATGGCTGGCAGCTGGGACCCCCTCTGGGGAGTCACTGCCCGTGAAGCCAGCCCACTTGGAACAGCTGCCCTGGTTGGACGCAGCTGCACGCTCTCGATCGGCTCCCTGCTCCCTGCTCGGCGGCCCCACACCTGGGAACTGACTGCTATTTTCGTTGCGGGGGATGCTCACTGCTGCTTAAAAATAAGACAAATCAACGTGGCTTGGGACAAAGACTCCATCTGGCAGATTCTGCCTGGAGGAGAAATTAAGTGGTGCAGTGCTAAACAGCTTTCCAAGAGGAGATGGGGCTTATTAAGAGGCAAATAAATAGCAAGAGAGATTTGTTACCAACTGGATGCCATGGGGAAACAGGTAAACGATGGAGGAGTGTGGAGGAGGAGATGCTTAGAGAGGATGCAGGAAGCGCCTTTTCTCAAGTATGTGGGTTTCATGAAGAGTTTCGAGGGACTAGAGTAGAGGAGATTTAGCAGGAGGATTTGTTTCCTGTGGGACTTCCGACTTAAAGTAGGATGATAAGCTGACCTGGGTTGTCCCTCAGGAAGCCTGTTGTGTCAGGCCTAGAATGGCTCATGCTGCTACCCAGGGAGAAAGGGGGGTGCCAGGGAGATTGACAGCATAGGGTTAAGAGTGGATTTGAATCTCAGTTTCTGTGAGACCTTGTGCCTGTGCGACTTTGGGCAAGTTACCCAATCTCCGGAGCTTCTGTCTCTTCATCTCTCAGTGAAAGGGAGGATATACACTTCCCTTAGAGGGTTGTTGGGAGAGTGGTGACATGATCCATGCAAGGAAATGAGCTCAGGGCATTGTGTTTAGTAAGCACTTTTAGGCTCATGTGATGACTACGATGTGAATGACTGTTAGCATCTTGGTGTGGCTAAGCACCACCACAACAGACCCAGTGTTTGCTTCATAGTGCTGTAGGGACACCCACCTTATGCCTTATGGTTACCTCACATGGCTTGGGCTCAGGTACATGGTGGGAAAGACAAGCCAAACTTTTCCCCAGGCCCAGAAAGGTGGGACCCAACCTCAATAACTCAAAGACTTAGGGCTCTGAACTCGAATCCCCAGAAAAGTGTGTCTTTAATCAAGGCTGCCCAGAAAATCCTTCTTGAAAAACTAATCCTAAAGTTTATATGACAAGACAAAAGACCCAGAAAAACCAAGACTGTATTGAAGAAGAACATGACCCAACCTCAAGACTTACTATAAGAACAGGATGATGTTG